CCTATGATTGCGTTGGATAAAAACCGCAATTTTTATATGTGTGCATGCAAAACAAATTTCTTGGTAGAGGGGCCTAAATACAGCACAAACAACATTCTCCAAAAGACCAAAACAGTGAAAAGGTATATTTTAACAAAACGCATTTGACTAGCAGGTCAAACAATGGATGACTCATAAAACACTGCTGACTGCCATGGAGATTGCCAAATAAACAGATCGCCAGATTTTTAGCAAAATAGATCTTAATTATTATATTATATATATCAAAAGTTCAGAAAAAGCTATCGTTAAAGATTTATTTTTCATGCCCATTTCATATTATTTTTTTTATTTGAATTTATAACTTCTTCCAAAGATTTGATATCCACATGTTAATCAATACATAATTTGAATGATCCGGAGGCAGACTATTTTCACCAATTTGTCTATCATGGGGTCTCTTATCATAATCCATCAAAACTTGTCTGGAACGAAATCAAGGTTTTGAACTACCAGAAGAACACCCCGTCAATGTTTAGACCTGGTGCAACCTCATGTATTCCACACTAAAGCCTACAATATTTAGAACGAAAGAACTTTATACTTCAGTGTTTATTTGTCTTGTATCATGTGTTTTGTTCAACGAATCAGAACTTAATCTAAAATAGAGAGATATTTATCAGTCTGGCTACTTCATAATTTGATGCTAAATTGTTGAAATCCAGGAGCTTCTGAGCTTCTGAGCTTGGACCCTCTACCAGGGCAACCGTAATTACGCCTCCCGTTAATAAAATCCTGGCCTAGGACTATTGAAATGTTATACCCTAGAATTTGGAATTTCTCGTTATTGGTCTACTGCTGTTAAGATCCATCCAATCATTTTAATATACCATAGACAATTAATGGAGAGAATTCGGCATAAAAAATGTCAAAACCTGACACTTAAACTATAAAACATACATGCTCCAAGTCAGGAACCGTTACATTAGTGCATTTCACAATTATTTTATGTTTTTAAGCATAAAGATTTGATTCTACGCCCCCTCTTTCAAATATCCTAGAAACGCCCCTGAATCTTATTGATATTAGTTCTCACAAAAAATTGATACTGATTACAGGTAACATATCAGTTAAATTGATTCAAAACTTGTCAACAATCAAACTGATTTAGAGTTTCACATATATAATGGTATAGACACTTGTCTGATATGTTAAGACTGCATGTTAATATAAAAATAAGAAGATGTGGTATGATTGCCAATGAGACAACTCTCCACCAGAGACCAAATAACAAAGAAGTTTACAACTATAGGTCACCGTATGTCTTTAACAATGAGCAAAACCCATACCCCATAGTTAGCTTTAAATGGCCCCGAAATGACAAATGTAAAAAACAATTCGAACGATAAAAAACTAACGGCCTGATTTATGTACAAAACAATGAACGAAAAACAAATATGATATACAACAACAAACAACTACTGAATTACAGGCTCCTGCCTTGGGACAGGCACATACAGAATGACAGTGGTGTAACAATACAACATAAGAACCAACTATAAAAATCAGTTGAAAAGGACTCATCAGATCAATACAAAGCAGAAAAATATCTAACAAAATCATATACTAGGGCGGACGTGGCAGGGTATTTATACATCCCCACAACAAAAAATACACTGAGTACAGATCTGAGAGTACTCACAGTTACTGACGGCTAGTTCAAAGCCAATAACAACTAATAAAAAAATCATGCATCTAAGACTAAAATATCAATCAGTACCCATCCAATATCAAATGGATTTAGCATAAAGACGTCATTAACAGTCAGAAAAAAACATGACCCTGTGCAATGCCAAGATACAGGTATCAACAGGTTTTAGAGCCATGAATATGCATATGTATATAGAAATTTAATTTTAATTTACTGATGACAAAATCAATATTTATTCCAACAAAAACAATATTCAAAGATCTTATTACAATGTTGAATTGGTTACCTTTTAGAATAAGTTTATTTAAAGAATTGATAAGTTTACTCAGATCGTATTTTAATTTCCCGGCTCGGTAAACAATATCTCCGTAAAAATTAGGATTAGCTATCCCTTTTGACAAATGTTTGAAATAAGTATATAAAAATGATAAGTTTTTTTGAGGTAAGATAGGTATTCCAATTCCTACTTTTATAGAATTTATGCAGTTATCCAAGTATTTTTTCAATGATTTAACAATACTTTGATAAAATGTCACTTGACATTATTAATCATACATACATACATACGTTTGAAACATGCTTTTTTTCTATATTTTTGCAATTAACAAAAAATTAACAAAAAATTAACAATGATCATTTATCATGATTACATCTTTTATGTATCGATTCTTTTAAAACAAGAGACTGCCAAACTATAGCAAACCCAGAAAAATCGTCAAACTTAAACTTTACATCGGTGATACATTTTGTCGAAAATTTTGAATTTGAAAAGCAATGTTTGAAAGTTCTCAATCTATTAAGCAGTAAGTAGAAACAGCTCTTGCCCATCGATACAACATCGGCAGTCTGTACCACCCAGAATTGATCATCATTTTTTCATTAAGAAAACCCTGTGAAAATTTTTATTTCATCATAGGGATTCTTGTTTTTGACAAGAACTTTTATTTTAAAAATTTGCATGACAATTTCCCCTGAATTTGTTTCTCTCAGTCACAGGATTTAATTCTGAAAGTTGTTGAACCCAGTGGAATTTTGCTTAATGACTTTCCCAACAATTTCCCCAATGTCCATATTAGCATAACATTTAAATTAAACTATTAAAATTGCTATTGTAGACTATTTTGAGCAAACTAATGGTAAATTGTACATGTTTTAGTCAACAAAAAAAGTGTAACAAAAATACAGAACCCCAAGGCAAATTCAAAAAGGGGAAGTCTATATAAAAAAAATTTGTAAGGGTTCTGCGGAACCCAGTGTCTCGCCTACTTTTGCTGCTAGTCACAGGCTCAACAAAAATGGGGAAAAAATTATTAAAAATTTTCTTATAGATACTATCTTTTGATTGTAAGAAGCTTCTGTCTAAGTTTGGTAAAAATCCAGAATGGTTTATGAATCTAATAAATGTTTTAAAATTTTTTAACTACAGACTGTATGTAATGTAAACTAAGTCCATTTATAAGTAATATACGGAAAACCAGGAAATATATTTTTACAAAATTTCCTTCTAGATACTAGCTTTTGATTATAAACAAGCTTCTGTCCAAGTTTGGTACAAATCCAGGATAGTTTAAGAAAGTTATTAAAGTTTTAAAAACTTTAACCACAGAGTGAATGTAATGTTAACAGGCAGAAAAACTAAGTCCAATCATAAGTAAAATACGGAAAAACAGGATTTTTTTTTACCATATATTCTTCTGGATACTATCTTATGATCATAAACAAACTTCTGTCCAAGTTTGGAAGAAATCCAGGATAGTTAAAGAAAGTTATTAAAATTTCAAAAACTTTAACCACAGAGTGAATATTTGTGGACGCTGACGACGACAGAATGTAAGATCGCTATGTCTCGCTTTTGCGAAAAAAGTCGCAGGTTCGACAACAATCTCAATCAACGGAATAAGCGAAAAACTAACATATTACTACTTGGTACAACCTACAGGCATTTTTGGATTGAAGTATTTGTCGATTGATTTTTGCATAAATGCATAGTGGCTTATATTTTGTGTGTTATTTTCAAGACTAATATTAAAGACATCGTCAACCATACATAATTCATGTCTAAAAGAAGTATACTGAGTTTGATTTATTTGCAATGAAATTTTCTTACCTTTCTGGTTAAATCCATTTAGCTCAATCCACCTTCTACAGTAAATCCAACAGCTCTACCTCAGCAATAATTTTCATGGACTATTTTTATTTTTTGCGGTCGTATATTGGTATGACGTTGGCGTCGTCGTCGTCCGAGGACACATTGGTTTTCGCACAATAACTTAAGTTTAAGTGAATGGATCTCTATGAAATTTTACCATAAGGTTCAATACCACAAAAGGAAGGTTGGGATTGATTTTGGGGGTTATGGTACCAACAGTTAAGGAATTAGGGGCCAAAAATAAGCATTTTTGTAACTTCCAGACAATAACTTGTGTTTAAGTGTATTGTTCTCTCTGAAATTATACCACAAGTTTCCATACCACAAAGGGATGGTTAGGATTGGCTTTGGGGGGTTATGGTTCAAACTGTTTAGGAATTAGGGGCAAAAAAGGGGAAAAAAACAAGGGTTTCCTGGTTAATGGACAATTTGAAAGCAGTGTAAGGGAGGTAATCCAAAAACAAATTGTACAATGTAAAAAAGAAATTGGGGGGGGGGGGGGGCAATTTTTTTTTTCATTTCAGATTTCAGAAATTAAAAAGAAAATTTCTTCAAATATTTTTTTTTTTCAGAAGCAAAAAAAAAAGGGGGGGGGTACATTTTTTTTTTCAGGGTTGAACCTCTGCGGTCATATCCAGCTGCACTCAGCGATGTAATTTTATTTCTACAAGTATGCACAGGTCTTTTGGTAAGCAAAAAATACAAAAACTTTTTTTGCACAGACTGTGAGAAAAACTTCATAAATATGTATACATGATATATAACAAAACATTAATAGTACAATTTAGAAGTTGTAAGGGATTTACAATGCAAGGGTGTGGAAATATTCTTGTCACATGCATGACACAAATATTTCCACACCCCTGCATTGTAAATCACTTACAACTTCTAAATTGTACTGTAAATATAACCCTGAGCTGAGATCACTGTTAAATTTTAAAGATCCTGTTATTTAATAAACGAAATGTAAGTAGAGTTATTGTGAATGATTCTGGTGTAGTGCAAGTTCATTAGGCACAGTTGATGATACTGATCATTAGGGATTGTAAACCTCAAATTGATCATGGTAAATTGTGCAATGCAAGAACTAGAAAACTCAGGCCAATGTAAGGGTCTTAGAATTGTCATCATGGTCATTGATTTTCTCATGTTATTTTTCAGGTTTCCTGAATTGCCCCCAGATACAGAGGACAGCAATCCTGTGATGAGATGGAAGGAATTTCCAGATTTTCCCAATATAACCCATGAAGGAATTGTTAGGGCTGGTGCTAAACGATCGATAGATTTTGAAGTACAACTAGATAAACATATAACTCAGTTAGAGGGTTAGTCATTGAGTTGTCATATTGATTCAGTGTTCTCCCCAGGATTTTCAATAACATCATGGGATTTAAAATAACACTGTTTTCCTTAAACTATTGCACAACATTTATAATACATTGTTTTATATAATCTATTCATGGTACCATTTTGCTATAAGGCTATGGTGAGAACATTGGATTTGTGTATTCTGAGTATGAGTACATATATGCACACAAAACATGTAGCAAAGGAGTTGGTTTAATGATATTAAAGAACAATCATTTTGAGCTTGAAATTGCAAAAATTTTAAAACTATTCATGCCTTTTAAAATTATATGGTAATTTTATTGAAAAATCAATAGGTTGATATAATCTGGACACTTGAATGCAGAAAGGTCACTATGAAGTCATAAACAATATGAGTCAAGACTTTACCCAAAAATATATAATAGGATTAAACCCCATTTTTACTAGATGTGATTGTAAACCGGGGCGATTATCTCCCAAACTGAATAAAAGTTAAGTTTGTTAGTAAGCAACCCAGTTTACACATCAATCACATCTAGAAAAAATGTATTTAATCCTTATAATACTTATGCCAAATATTCACATGTTTAAATTAACAAGTTTTTTTGTTAATTGCAATCAAATGCACAATTGACATGTCATAACTAAGGAGTTAGCCACCATATTAACTTTAAATATCCATAAATGTTTGATTAATGTAATAGAATCTAAAATGAAATAACTCCTACCTCAAAATCTTCATTTTAATGAGATACTGTTTGAATTTGAAGCGTACAAGTAACAGAATAATCTTCAGCTTGAGAGTTTTCATTAGTATGACGTCATGATTTGCCATGACATTAATGCTCCAAGATCATTCATGATATTTTGCTGTATTTTATTATACGACTGCAAAAAATTTTTTGCGTCATATAATGCTATGATGTTGTCGTCGTCCGAAGACACATCTTGTTTCCGGGGAATAACTTTAGTTTAAGTGAATGGATCTCTATGAATTTTTATACGACCGCAAAAATTAAAAAAATTTTGGTCGTATATTGGTATCACGTTGTCGTCTAACTCTAACTTTAGTTTAAGTGAATGGATCTCAATGAAATTTTACCATAAGGTTCAATACCACAAAAGGAAGGTGGGGATTGATTTTGGGGGTTATGGTCTCAACTGTTTAGGAATTAGGGGCCAAAAAGGGGCCCAAATAAGCATTTTTGTAGTTTCCAGACAATAACTTGTGTTAAATAGTATGAATCTCTCTGAAATTATACCACAAAATTCCATACAACAAAGGGATGGTTAGGATTGACTTTGGGGGGTTATGGCTCAAACCAATTAGTAATTAGGGGCAAAAAAGGTGAAAAACAAGGGTTTTTCTGGTTAAAGGACAATTGAGACAATTTAAAAGCAGTGTAAGGGAGGTAATCCAATTCAAATTAAAGAACACTGTTTGATTACCTCCCTTACACTGCTTGTAAATTATGTATTAAGAAATGATGATTGTCTTGAGGTGATTAGCTGTCAATTTATTTTTAGCAGTTACTATTAATTAATATTAATTTTAGCCATGACTATGTATGTCATTTTATATTTTAAAACTTTTATGATGTATTTAAATGGGTAATTTTGGTTGCAAACTGCATTAGAAATTTGAATTGAGATACTGACCATATCTTGAGGGAAAGAATTTTTTGGGGGAATAAGGGAAAGGGGGGAGGTGAAAAAAATTGGAGGGGGGGGACAATTTTTCTCATTTTAGATTTCAGAAATTAAAAGAAAATTTCTTCAAATATTTTTTTTTGGGGGTTAATATTCAACAGCATAGTGTATTGCACAAAAGCAAAAAACCGGGGTAAAATAAAAAAATTTTGGTAGGGGGGGGGGGGGGGTCAATTCGCAACAGCATAGTGTATTTCACAAAAGCAATAAATTGAATATAAATTCAAATCATATAACCCATTTGAAGTTCTTTGACTACAGTTATTCTGTGTCAGAAACCTATTATGTGTCAAAAATTTAGTTACAATCCAAATTCAGACCTGTATCAAGCGTGAATATTGTGTCCATTTTGGCCCAACTTTTCAGGGTTGGACATCTGCGGTCGTATCCAGCTGCGCTCAGCAAAGCAATTTATTACCAGAAGGTTCAATACCGCAAAAGGAAGGTTGGGATTGATAGAATTTGAGAAATGGTACCAACAGTTTAGGAATTAGGGGCCAAAAACAAGCATTTTTCTAGTTTTGGGACAATAATTTGTGTGTAAGTGTATGGATCTCTCTGAAATTGTACCACAAGGTTCCATATCACAAAGGGAAGGCTGGGATTGAGTTTGGGGTTACTTGCCCCAATTCAAACTTCAGGAATTAGGGGCAAAAAAGGGGCCAAAAACAAGCATTTTTCTAGTTTCCGGACAATAACTTGTGTTTAAGTGTATGGATCTCTCTAAAATTGTACTACAAAGTTCCATACCATAAAGGGAAGGCTGGGATTGAGGTTGGGGGTAATTACTCCAAAAGGGGGGGAGGGGGGGTTCAAAAAGTTTTTGGGGGGCACAATATTGCGCAATAGCAAGAAATCTTCAATTGTACAGTATTGCACAATAGCACAGTATTGTGCAATATCACAGTATTGTGCAATATCACAGTATTGTGCAATATCACAGTATTGCGCAATAGCAAGAAATCTTCAATTGCAGAGTATTGCACAATAGCACAGTATTGCGCAATGGCAAGAAACCTTCAACTGCACAGTATTGATCAATAGCAAGAAATCTTCAATTGCACAGTATTGCGCAATAGCAAAAAATCTTCAATTGCACAATAGCAAGAAATCTTCAATTGCACAGTATTGCACAATAGCAAGAAATCTTCAATTGCACAGTATTGCACAATAGCAAGAAATCTTCAATTGAAAACAAATACAAATGTTTTAACCAATTAAGATGGGATTAATTAAGTTTTTAATTTTTGGGGGTTCTAACCTTGTATGATTTTTTTGGATATTGGGCCCCATTTTTAAATTGGTCTACATTGAGGTCAAAAGGGTCCAAAATTAAACTTTGTTTGATTTCATCAAAAACTGAATTATTGCAGCTGTATGATTTGCTGAATCTTATTTTGCATTTAGAATTTTATTTTGGGCCCTGTTTTCAAATTAGTTCATATTAAGGTTTGAAGGGTCCAAAATTAAACTTTGTTTGATTTCAACTAAAATTGAATTATTGGTGTTTTTTTATATGCTGAATCTAACCATGTTGTTTTCACAGTTAAGTGACTGCTTGAAAAAAAATTAAGTTTTTTATACCCGCGCCTTCACGGAGGGGTATTAAGTTTTACCCTTGTCAATCTGTACACAAAACTCAGATCAAGTTCAAATTTGGGCAGTGTCATTTACCGTTCTTGAGTTATGTTCCTTTATAACATTATATGCAAGCGGGGGTATCATCTGTGTCCCATGGACACATTCCCCATTTATTTGTGAAGTGAAATACTCACTTATTATGAGTAATAGGATAACACTATTAGTATATGGGTTCCTTGCAATGTCTACATGTCTGTCAGGTAAGGTTCACATGACCTTGACCTCATTCCATAAATCAGTGATCAAGGTCAAAGGTACGTGGTCGAGTATCTCAGATACTATAAGCTATAGGTCAACTATAATTGGTATATGGCATGATTGTAGGGTGTACATGGCCGTATGACAGGTTTCATCTGACCTTGACCTCAATTTCATGGTTCATCGGACAATGTTTAGTTTTTGTGTTTTGGTCTTTTTCTCAAATACTATAAGCAATAGGGCCACTATATTTGGTGTATGGAATGATTGTCAGGCGAACATGTCCGTCTTGTAGGTTTCATCTGACCTCAACCTCATTTTCTTGGTTCATTGGAAAATTTTTAGTTTTTGTGGTTTGGTCTATTTCTCAGATATTTTAAGCAAAAGGTCAACTATGTTTAGTGTATTGAAATAATTGTGAGGTGTACATGTCTGTCTGGCAGTGTTCATATGACCTTGACCTCATTTTCATGGCACATTGGTCAATGATAAGCTGTTGTAATTTTGTCAGTTTATCAGATACATTAAGAAATAGGTCAACTATATTTGGTGTATAGCATGATTGTAAGGTGTACATGTCTGTCTTGCAGGGTTCATATGACCTCATTTTCATGGTTCATTGGTCATTGCGAAGATTTTGTGGTTTGATCTTTTTCTCATGTACTAATAGCAATAGAACCACTATATTTGGTGTATGGAATGATTATAAATTGTACATGTCTGTCTGAAATGGTTAATCTGACTGTGACCTCATTTTCATAAAAACATTGAAAATGTTAAGTTTATGTGATACAGACTTTTAACATGAATTCAATGAGAAGTAAAACAGGCGAGACATTTCAGCTTGTGCACTGTTGTTACTGTAAACCGGGAAATTTTCGCGCCGTCTTTATTTCGCGTTTTATGAACACAGTCTAAATTTGCGATTTCCCTGTGGCCTATATCAATATTTTCAAAAAGGATATAGAAAGTGAACAGCTTTAGATGTATAGTAAATCAAGTGATAAAATCAATCAGAAATCTTTTGTTTTCGGTTCATTAATGTTAAATGAGATTAAAAGTTGTGTCATATTTGCTTGTAAAAACACATACACAATAACAGAAAATAAGACCTCATTAAGAGTGAATTAAAATAAAATACTCTCAGGATTAATGCTAATAAATCGGTCTTTTGATCTGATTAACCTGTGTAGCAGAGATTCAACGAGGTAATACTTTTAAAACTGATTGACAGATGACATTTACATATTTGTAAAGAGTGTTGTTTACATAACAATATCCGTAATGTCCGCTTGATTGAGATGACTTCTATGTTAATGATTTCTAAAGATGCTTTTCATTTAAAAATACAGTTATTATTTGAGGTATCGATCTGTCGTCTGTAAAATCCGTGTTGTCCTCTACATATCCTATTCATATACTTACATGTATGGTTTACATCTTATGA